AGAGACTCTGATGCCGTCTCTAAGGCCAACAGCAAAAAGTGGCAAAAGACAACCACCTGCTCTCAGCAGAGGATGCAAAAGAGTATTTCTGGTGTTCTAGTCCTTTCTGTAACAAGGGTGAATTCAAAGCTCCGGAGGCCTACAGCTCTTAATAAAAATAACAGCATGCTATTAAGTAAAAATGTGTTAGCTAATTACTAGTACCCTGACACAAGCCACAGTAGTCATATGGGCATTCAGAATTAAGTAGGCTGACAAGTCTTATTAAAAACAAATTGCTAAGATGGTCCACAGGCGAGGACCAAGTAAAATAATTAAATACCAAATTGTTTCTTTTTCTTGCTATAAATAGAACAATTTTAATTTTTGTTTCATTTTTGCCCTAAGCATCAAAGCAGTGGATCACCTTGCTGCCAGTGTTCCTCATTCCCACTGCTTGTGACTATAATAGTTAAACAAGCACTAGCCTTGGAATCAACAGACCTGGGTTCAATTCCTTGGTTCTACCACTTACTAAGTGTGGCCTTGAAAAAAGAATTCACTTCTCTGGGGCTCAGTTTTAACATCTGTGCATCCTGGGCCATTGCCAGGGATCCTGACTTTTGTCTTACCACTGGACTGTGTGACTCTGGAAGAGAGTGAAGCTGATGACTTTATGCAACTCTGCCTTACTTAAATCCAATTCATCTGCAAATCAAGACATCATCAGTGATGTCACTGGTCCTCTTTGAAAATGAAGTATGGGGGCAGCTAGGTGGTGCACTGGATAGAGCACTGGCCTTGGAGTCAGGAGGACCTGAGTTCAAATCCAACCTCAGTCACGTAACACTCACTAGCTGTGTGACCCTGGGCAAGTCACTTAACCCCATTGCCTAGCCAAAAAAAAAAAAAAAAAAAACAAATGAAAATGAAGTATGAACAACAACAGCAACAACAAGATGAGAATGACACTTATGTTATCTGGTTCATAGGATTGTTATAAAGAAAATGTGTTGTAATTTGTAAAGTATCATATAAATATTAAGCTATAGGTGTGAACTACCATTCAAAATATTAATAACATTAAGAGACAATAGTATAATGGATAGAGCACTGGATTTAGAAGGATCTGGGTTCAAGTCCTGATGAAGATACTTACAAGCTGTATAACCTTAGGCAAGTCATTTAACTTCTCCTGGACTCAGCTTCCTCATCTGTAAAATGAGGGAGCTAGATGACTTGTAAGGTCTCTTGAGTTCTGTATCTATGATCCTATCAGAAAGGCTAAATCAGGCAGTCAGGGAACAAGCATTTACTAAGGGCTTACTAAGAGCAATGCACTGTACTAAGCACAGGAAAATCAAATAGAAGTGAAAATAAAGACAGCCCCTGCCCTCAAGGAGCTTACACTCTAATGGGAGAAGATAACACACATAAAGGGAGCTGAAATGTGGAGGCGGGAGATTGGCCTTTATAGAGGCCTCTTGGCTAAGTCTAAATAATAAGAGAAGACTGGTCTGGGACCCTGGCCCAAAATGGAGGTTCAGGAAAAACTTACCAATAGGAGAAGGGATTCATAGGAGCAGAATCAGGAGGCAGCTGAGGTATGATGGTTTAGTCTGGATTATTGGGGACAACTGGTATAGAGCCTTTCTTTAAAATGGAGATTCTGAGAAGAACTCACCAATGGGAGAAGAAGCCTCTAAGTACAGAATCAGAAGACAGTTGAGACATGGTGGCTAAATCCAAATAAAGTGTAACATTATTAATAGCTGACACTTATATAAAAATACAGAGAGAGCTTCCAGTTTAGTACTTAATAAATGCTTGTGGGTTGATTGACTCTGTGATAGAGTAGTTCATGTATTATCCCTATTGTGTAATTATTGCATAAATGTGAACGATTGTCTTAATAACAAAGTATTTTAATGTTTTTATCTGAACCTATGATTTCATTAGTGTGGGGGAATTCTGGCATGAAAAGTTCCTCTACCGATATAAATTAGCGGCTCATGTATAACATCATCTTAGAGAGTTGCCTGAGAAACCAGAAGGTTGTCATTTACGCAGGACTGCCCAACTCATTTTATGTCATAGGTAGGAATTGAAGCAAGTCCTCGCTAATTCCAAAACTACTCTAGCCATTATGCCCCACTACCTCTCAACAATTTAAATAATTAATATCAATAATGGCCCTCAATATCAATAAGTATCAATAATACTGCTTCACATTTATATGAATAGATGACCATACAAACAGCAAAGACTGTGCTTCTCTTCCCCTCCCAGCCCCACAGGGTACCAATCTTCTGGCATCTAACAAACTGAAAAGAATTTGAGTCTGGGCTAGGTATTATAATAATAATTCCTAAAAACTTTATAGCAGAGTAGAATCAGATCTGGTCAAGAATTCATCCTGACAGTCTACTTGAGAAGACTTAATTCTTTACTGAATAATATGTATCTATGTAGTTGTAGGTCCTAGAGTCAAAGATCAGCTTATAGGACTTTAATAACAATGCATGGGAATAAGGTCCTAACTGGTTTCTTGGCATCCAGTCTCTTGACATCCTTTTCTAGTCTTGAACCGCCACCAAACTGATATACTAAAGAACAGGTCTTTCGTATATTGGTAATGGAGGAATGTCACTCCTCCACTCAAGAAGCTTCTGTGGCTCCCTATTACTTCTGTGAAAAGATTCAAACTCCTCTGGCATACAAAGTCCTTCATAATCTGACTACTCTCCATCTTACCTGGTTACTCACTCTCACACACTCTACATCTCAGACAAACTAACCTACTTGTTCTCCCCCAGAACATGACAAGTTATCTCTTGCCTCTATGTCTTTGTACAGGCTGTACTGCCCCCTATGCTGAGAATGTTCTCCCTCCTTGCCTCTGCCACTTGGAATCCCTAAATCCCTTCAATACTCAACTAAAAGGCTATCTCCTTCAAGAGGCCTTTTCTGGTTTCTCTACTTCCTAATGCCTTCCTCTTAAATAACTTGGGATTTTTTTTCATATATACTCTATATTTATTTATTTGTTGACATGTGGTATTCCCCCAGTAGAATGTAAGCTTCTAGTGGGCAGGGACTCTTTTGATTTGGTCTTTTTATCTCCAACATATAGTATAAAGTGCCCAGCACATAGTAGATTCTAGGTGCTTATTGACTGACTGACTGATTGATTGATTGATTGAAAAGTAGCCTTGTGTGAGCAAACACATGATGCAGTCCTCAGAACTTCAGTAGATTAGAGCAACAATTCCCACAAAAATAGCTATCATAATCTTCAATAGCCATATCCAAAAGCAGCCTAGAATACAATTAAAATAATGCCTTCTTCCTTATACCTTCTGCTTTGAGTTTGTGTCCTCAAATGACCACCTGGTCAAAACCCCAAGTACTCTGGTGTTAGGAACATCCTGAGGCTTTACTTCATCATCAACAAACATTAAATAAGCACCTACTATGTGCAAGATGCTGCACTAGGGGCTTGGGGGGATACAATATAATCACCAGCATCATCATCATCATCTTCATCATACTACTACTACCATTAACATTGAGCTTTAAGGTTTGCAAAATACTTTACATATACTATCTTATGTCAGCCTTACAACCACCCCAGGAAATAGGTACTTTTATTACCCCTATCTTACAGTTAGTAAGCATCTGAAGCAGGGCTTCCTGATTCAAGGTCCAAGTTCTATCTCCTATGTCACCTAGAAATATTAAACACAGCTCTTACTCTCAAAGAGCTTACAGCTTTGCAAATAAGATGGTCTTTGAGGTTTTATGATTAGCCATGCCTGTGGCTGTGCTGTAATGGGGTTGGACACCATGATCACTCACCCCAAAGGCAAGTGTCTGTAGGTGGTGTATCTGTAGTTTGTCTTGCAGGACTCGTAAAGCCTCTAAATGGTTTTTTTAAAAGAGGGGGAGTCCAACTTCTGCTAAATCCCATGCTATCGAAAAAAACTCTAATCATGAGGTTCCGGTCTCATCAAAAGGATCACCTGAAGGGACAGAAGAGCTCTAGAGGCAGTGAGGTATAATAGAAAAAATAGGCCTGGAATCAAGATAGAATTGGGCCTGAATCCCTGTTCTGACACCACTCGACTATTTGAAACCAGCCAGGTCATTAATCTCACTGAGCTTCAGTTTTGATATCCATGAACTGGGGATAAAAAATACTTGCCCTGCCTATCTCAGGGTTGTTGTGATGAAGGAGCTTTGTAAGCCTTCAAGTGCTAGATTGTGAGCTGCTGTTATTTCTTTTCCCTTTTTATGTAGAAGGGATTAAGTAAATACTGGTTCTGAGCGTGCATAAATTGTCCATATAAATTAACACAGGCATGGATATAAAGAAATTTCGAAGAGTCTCAAAGGATGTTAGTGGGCAGCCATACCACAAAGAGCAGTAACCTCTGCTGACCCTTTCTAATGCCCTCCTATTACCTTTACAAGGCAACTTGTGTTTAGGGAAGGCACACTGGGTGCATGTGTAGCAAGCAGAGGTTAATGTTCTTGCTACCAGCTGATAATACATAAGACATGGAAGAAGGGAGTGGGTGTACAAGGAAAGGGGAGGGAGTTGCCAAGGAGGAGGAGGGCAATACAAATAGGGGCATCTGGTGAACATGTTCTCCAGTTCAGAGGTTTATGAACATCCAGCAGTAAACACTGTGGTACCAAGCATTTTGGGTAACTGAAAATAAAAATATCTGTTCCACTAGAGGAGTTTCGGAAAAAAGAAATAAGTTGTTTTAGACATGAGGATGATCACAGGACATGTTGGCTATTCTGTCTCTCCTTCCCAGAAAAAAAAAAAACACTATCAGAAAGAGCCCTTCCCTAGCTCACTTTCCACTAGAGATTCTCCTGAAAGACAGGGGAAATCTTTTTTTTTTTTTTTTTGCTGTGCTCCAGGGATCACATCGAAGAAAAGAAAATGTGTTTTTGCTTTGCTCTGCTTCCAGTGAAAACCCACCTTAACCATGTGCTTTGTTTTTCAGTGAAACAATCATGTTTTTGCATCAGATTTTTTACCAAGGCCTCAAAGCCCGGATATCCAGCTGGCCAACATTAGTGCTCGGTGAGTAATGACAAACACTTGGAAATTAGACATTTGACTAATTTAATGGCATCCTTCATTAAAGGCCACATTTCAGAGGACCTATTGGCCTGTCTTTGTAGCCCAGGCTGGCTTTCCCCTCACATTATTACACACACCACCAAGTAAAATTCCCTCTAGTAAATGCTCTGCGTCTGGACTCATGGCTGAGATGAGTTAGTTTTTAATACCACACGAATTACCCCAGTGAGGTTTGGGAGGCTTTATTGTTGTTCTTAATTCAAAGACTAGTTTGAAGTGATTAAACTTTTTTTATATATAAAAGCTACTTCAAACCTAAGCCCTTTCTCAGTCAAATATTTGGTGTTTCTTTAAAAAGAAAAGAAAATTCCAAAATAGTAAGAGAACAAGTGGATGAGTGGCCACAGTGTGCATATATCTCTCTGCTGGTGGTGTGGAATATGTTCCTGCCTTCAGGAATTCACAAGCAGATAAATCCAGGACTGGACAGAATCACTGAGCCTGAAAGAATTTCAGAGACTATCCAGCCCACCTCACTCCACCACCACCACCCTCATTTTATAGATAAAGAAACTGAAAACAGGTACTGTAAAGCGACTTTTAAGGTCATACAGGTAGTAAGCACATAGCAGAATTGAGACTTTCAAACGCATTTCTACTGAGTCTAAACATAATATTCTTTCCACTAAACTACGGGTGAGGAACCTGCAGCCTCAAGGCCACATGTGGCCCTCCAAACTTCACAGATTCTGTCAAAGGGCTGCGCTTGAGGACCTAGAGGGGCACATGTGACCTCAAGGCCACAGGTTTCCCCATCCCTGCACTAACCCATACTTTCCCCCTGTACAGAAATATACTGGTTCAGTAAGCTGGAGCCTTTTTGACATCCCCAAAGAGGTAAAGACTTATCAGGACATGCAGCCAAAACAGCTGGATATGAATCAAAGTCCATAGTTGTTCGAGAAGGGAGAAGGGTCATCTAACAGTGAGCTCAATCACATCCGAGAAGTCACATACCCTCAAAAATTGATTATGCAGGATCTAGGAACAAAGGCAGGGACTACTGAGTATCAGCAATCATGGCAATCTTTTCAATTCATTTTGATAACATGCTGCCATCATTTTCAGCAAGAAAACATATCACTAAACCATGCCACCCCCATACATTTAATGAACCACATTTGTGCTATTAGGAGAGGGGTGCAGGAGGGGTGGCAGGCAAATAGTTCTGGAATACCAGATCATTTTAGTACCAAATTTCCTTGCATCTTCTCAAAGATGTTGATTATGGATTCCTGAGAAAACTTCTGACAACTTTGGACCCTCTTTCAGGGGTGGGGAACCTGTGGCCTCAAGGCCACATGTGGCCTTTAGGTCCTTGGGTGCTGCCTTTTGACTGAGTTCAAGTTTCATAGAACAAATCCTTCAATTAAGGGGATTTGTTCTGTGAAGTTTGGATTCAATCAAAGGGCTGCACTTGAGGACCTAGAGGGCCACATGTGGCCTCAAGGTCATAGGTTCCCCATACCTGTGTCTTGTTCAATTTGTGTTTTCTTAGCATTCGAGCTACTTAACTTTCCAGTCTCTCCCTCTCTCAGCTTGCACGAGGAAGAAACTTCCAGGTCAGTGTAGGGACAAGAGAAGTAGAAAGATATCTGGTATAGGGGAAAGTAATGGCATGGAAGATAGACCACTGGGCCCTAGAGTCAGGAAAACCTGAGTTCAAATCCACCCTCAGACACTTACTAGCTGTGTGACCCTGGGCAGTCACTTAACCCTATTGGCCTCAGTTTCCTCATCTGTAAAATGAGCTGGAGAACTACTCCGGTATCTTTGCCAAGAAAACCTCAATTGAGGCCATGAAGAGTTGGACACAACTGAACAAAAACAACACAGAGGAAAGAGCATTTGCTCTGGAGTCAGAGGAACTGAGTTCAAATTCTGCCTTTGTCACCTACTACCTAATCGTTACTAGACAAGTCATTTAACCTGTCTAGGTCTTAGTCTCCTAATCTGTAAAATGAAGGGGTTGGGACCAGTTGGTCTCTAAGGCCCCTGCCAACTTTAAACCTATGATATTGCCTTGTTGTGTTGGGCTACTCTCTTTTTTCCTCCTTCCCACCCACAAGGAAGAACACAAAACATCTTTACACTTGGAAAACTTGGAAATACAAAGATCTCTTTTTTTCTCATATAGAGAGTGATTTTCTTTCTAAAAGAAGAACTTCTCCCAAAGAGCTAAAAACTAGGTGCTAGCCAGATGTTGCTTGAATATTACATACAATAGCACTTCTTTGTGAAGTTGAGGTTGTCCTTGGCAACCCACTACTTACTTGGGCCAGCTGTCTCTGATATAAGTTGCCTTATTTTTCCAGTCTTCAAGTTGCAGGTTTAAACTCATGCCAAAACAAAACTCCCCCCCACCCTACTGCACCCCAACAAAACTTTTGAAAAAGAACTAAGCGAAAATTTAAGGCAGAGATTTAAATCAACTTCACAAAAATCCTGGAGTGGCAGATCATATGGAGTTTCAGGCACACTAAAGCTACAAACAGGTGAGGTGAGAAGTAGGAACAAGGTATTTTTAAAACATATTTGTCATGGTTAAATTTGTTTCTCTGAAGAAGATCTGGGGGTTTTAGTGGACTGCAAGCTCAACAAGCATCAATCGTTATGCGGCAACCAGAAAAGCTAACGTGATTTGTGGCTGCATTGGAAGACATAGGTTCCATGTAACAATCTCTCTGTATTCTGCCCTTGTCAGACTTCATTAGAGTATTGCTTCATATTCTGGGAATCATACACTAAGAAGGATAGTGATGAGCTGGAGAATGTTCAGAGGAGAACAGCCAGGATGGCTGAGGGCCTTGAGTCCATGCCATGTGAGAATTGATTAAAGGAACTGAGCATTTTGGACCCAGGGGCATATGGGAGCTGTCTTCAGTTATGTGAAGGGGGGAGGGGTCATGAGGAAGAGTGATTAGACTGGTCTATTTGGTCCCAGAAGGCAGAACTAGGAGCAATGAGTAAAAGGTGCAAGGAGGCCGGAGTTTAGGCTTGATGTCAGGAAAAGTTTCCTAACACTTAGAGCTATCCTTCGATGGGATGGGCTGCCTTTGGATTTGGTGGGCTCCTCCTCCTTGGCAACCTTCAGACAGAAGCGGAATGGCCCAGTTGTCAGGTGTGTGGGAGCACAGATTCCCATTGGAGATGGGTTTGATGCAATGGTCCCTAAGGCCCCTTCTGACTCTACAACTCTGTGATTCCGGGAGACTGCAGTAGGGGATTGGATCCCCTCGGATAGCCTTGGGGGAGGGGAGGTTGGTAGGATTTGGAGTCAGAATAAAAGAAGTTGCTTCCAAGAGACTTTGGGGGATATGTACTAGGAGATAGTCCCAGACACAGAATAAAAACCAACACAAATGCTATCTGCATCCACAGAAAGAAATGATAAAGAGAAGTATGTATAGAATAATTTTACATATATATGCCTATTTGTGTCTAATGGTAGCCATCTCTGAGGCAGGTTGAGTGGAAGGAAGAAAAAAGGGGGGGGGGAACTTACATGATAACTTGGTTGTGTATTTAAAAGAAATAGCAAGTTGTTCACAGTGAATGTATGGTTTCATGTGCAATCATCTTTTTTTATTGTACTATGTTAAGGAAATGCTTCTTTTATTCCATAAATTAAAAAAATAACAAGTAAATTTATTTTTTTCAATGCAGATGGATACCTAAGTGAAGTGAGCCAAGGAACATTTAGCTTGATTGCCTATATGTAAGCTTTACAAAATGTATAAACTGAGGCATAGGACAGATAAAGTTCTGTGAAATCCCATGAGAAGGAGCATGGTACAGTAGAAGGAGCCCTGGGGAGAAGTAAGAAACCCAAGTCCTAGTCCTGGCCCTTCTAACAACTATCTGAGGATCATGGACAAATCACTTCATCTCTCTGAGCCTTAACTTCATCTGTAAAATAAGAAGATTGCACTAGATTAGCACTTCTCAAATTTTTTAGTCTTAGGACCTTTTTATGCTCTTAAAAATGACTCAGGATCCCAAAAAGCTTTTGTTTGTATGGGTTATATCTATTGATATTTACCATATTAGAAATTAAAACACCTTAGTATTCTCATTAAAATGAGCCCCCCCTACCCTGAAAGGGTCTCAGGGACCCCTAACATTCCCTGAACCACACATTGAGATTCACTCCACTAGCTGATGACCAAGGTCCCTTCCTACTTTTAAATATTATGATTATAACGTGCTTTTAATTTGGAGGTTCTGAAGAAGGATGTGATTTATTTGGTCATGGAGAGAAACATGTTGTCAGAGCTGATGTTCAAAGTTTTAGTTCCATAAGAAACCCCAATGCAAAATAAATGGGTAATCTTGGCATGTTCCGGAATCAAAAAAAAAGGATAAATACTCAAAATAGAAAAGAGAACAACTGAACCAAATTCTAAGTTTCATTCTACTTATTTCTTCCAGCTGACCTATTTGACATACTGCTGCCTATGCTGAATATCTACCAGGAGTTTGTGAGAAACCATCAATACAGCTTGCAGATCCTAGCTCACTGCAAACAGAACAGGGATTTTGACAAACTCCTGAAACATTATGAGGCAAAGCCAGACTGTGAAGAGAGAACTCTGGAGACCTTTCTCACTTATCCTATGTTTCAGGTAATATGGTCTTTTAGAATGCATAACAAGTGAGAAAAAATTTTAGTAGAGATAGCATTCTTTAGTAAAATAGGACTGATTTATCTTTGTATCCATTGTGCCCAGAATTTAAAGGGTGCTGAATGAATGAATGTTTATAGGGAAGGGATCAGTAATAAATCTAATTAAATGTTAATAAATCTAATTATGGTACCATAGAGACTCCCTGAGTTATGAACACCAGACCTATACTTGAAATATGCATACAAACAGCTAGCTGCATGCTTCCACCTGCTCCAGTTACCCATCCTAAGGTTGATCTTACCCAAATTCACTCCAAATAGTGAACAGGTGGTCTTGCTGCAATTGCACCACCTGATGGCTCTTTCTCCATTGCATGTATATTCTTTTTGTGCTTCTGTCTCTCTCTCTCTCTCTCTCTCTCTCTCTCTCTCTCTCTCTCTCTCTTTCTCTCTCTCTCTCTCTCCCTCCCTCTCTCTCTCCCCCTCTCCCTCTCCCTCTCTCTCCGTCTCTCTCCCTCTCTCCCCTTCTCTCCCCCCCCACTCTCCTCCATTCCCTCCCTCTCCTCTCTTCTCCCCTTCTCTTCTCTTGCTCTCAAAAGGAAATCCATACATTTTCAAGTCACATTAGACATGGTGCCAAGCAAATTCCATGAACCTCTAAAAATCAATGAAAGCACCTAGAAGCTTGCTGTAGACCAATGTTTCTCAAAGGATATGTTTCAGTATATTAATAGGCCATGAATGTGCTACAAAATTTTGAATATTATGTTTTGCAGATTTTAAAAATTATCATTGTGTTTAAAATAAATTTTACTTAACCAGCAATAAATTTTGTTTAATATAGAATTTACTTAGCATACATAGTACAGTATTACAGTATTCACAAAACAAACAAAACTTAACCATTACATATATGTACTAATCTCAAAACACAACAGAGACCTTGAACTGGCAAATGACTCAACAAAAACAGCTGCACTTATTGAATAGAAATGCTACAAATCTCCTGACTCTTCCATAGAATTGCCACATTAAACATTCAGTGTGCTGTGATTTCTCACAGCAGAGAATACTATGCCGTGAACAAAAGCATTTTGAAAACCACTGCTCTAGAGACTCTATGAAGGTCTTGGTCTACCTACTTCCTCTTCTATTTAAATCTGTTTTTCCTCATGTCCTATTCAGTTTTTGTCATTTTCCCATTTTAATTACCAGAATTGTTCCCTGCTCATTTTCATTACAAAAGTATAATATTTACATAAATGATAACATTATTTTTACGGGTAAATGCTCCCTGAGTTCCAAATAAAGAAAACAACTTGGGTTACACAAACCGTTTGTAAACTGAGGCTTGCTAATAGAACAGTCTCTGTTTTCAAGTCCCTTCTTTTGGTAGCATGATTTCATTTTGGTTTTAGAACAGGGCACCAAACAGAGGATTGCTCTTAGAAGAAAACCTGGTGCCATTTTCCTTCTTAACAGTTAGAACCGTGTGACAACGAGACAATCTGACTTGATAGATAGTGAGCTCCCTATCACTTGAAGTATCCAAGATAGACAACTTCCTCTTAGAGACACTGTAGAGCAGATTGCTGCAACAGGTGGGAAGTTGTGCCCAATGTCCTCCAATGCCTCTTCTGGCTATAAAGAGTCTTTGATTCTATAGTTACTCGCTATGACACTCCCTCCAAAACCTTTCAGATCCTCAGCTAATGTATCTGTGATTGCCCTGTGGTCAGTCTGCCCTTCTTTGACTGTCTACTCTCTGTAGATCCCCAGGTATATTCTGACATTACATGAACTCCTGGCCCACACTCCCCATGAGCATGTGGAGCGAAACAGTTTGGATTATGCAAAATCAAAACTGGAGGAATTGTCCAGGTAAGAAGCTTCTGCTCTTGTCTTACCATATTCCCAAAGAGTAGCAGGTAGGGGTTCTTAATCTGAAGTCCATGAACTTATTTGTTCTAATATTTTTGACAATTGTGTTTTTTTCTTTCATCATCTTATGTGTTTTATTTTATTCATTTAAAAGACATTCTGATAAGGGATAATCTTAACCAGGCTACCAAAAGGATCCAGAACATACGCACACACAAAAACATTCAAATCTCTGGTCTAGAGGATGCTGATTCTGTGAGTCAATCAGTATTTACTGATTGCCTTTAGGGTATATAACCTTATATTCTATGTACAAAAGAAATTGAGCAACCAACTGGAGTTACTATAGTCCAGGCTTACAGGTTCAGAAAATCAATTCCAGCAATTTGCCACAACTGACCAGACTCATTTATAAAACTTCCAATTAATTAAATAATAATGGTGGATTCCATTCAGTTCAATAAACATTTATTAAGCACCTACTGTGTACCAAGAGGCACTATGCAAAGCAAAGGGGACAAAGAGACTGAAAAAAAATGAAAACAATCCCTGCTGTCAAAGAACTTATGTCGTACTGAAGGAAAACAAAAGGTAGCAATAAATAAAAATCAGTAAATAAATACAAGGCCCTTTTAGTGGGGGTATGGTTATGGAAAGTGCTAACAACTGGGGAGACCAGGAAAGATCTCGAGTAGGAATTGGCAGATAAGCTTAATCCTGAAGGGAGCTAGGGAGTCTCCAAATTGGAGATGAGGAGGGGGAACATTTTAGGCAAGAAGAACAGCAAATATAAAGGTCAAGAGGTAGGAGATGGAATATCATATCTGGGAAAAAGTCACTTGAGCAAGTTACTTCACCCTGTTGGCTTCAGTTTCCTCATCTGTAAAATGAGATGGAGGAGGAAATGGCAAATCACCCCAGTATCTTTACCAAGAAAACCCCAAATGAGGTCACAAAGAGACACAACTGAAAAACAACTGAACAACTACAAAAGAGAATATAACAGGGCATATCGTGGCGATGTGTCAGGGGAAAACTCTTTTCCTATGACCAGAATACTTGTGGCTGCTATCAAGGGTACCCCTTTTATTAAAATTGAATCAAGAATAGAAAATTGCTTGGTGAATGTTGAATCAGAGCAAGGGAGCTGGATAGTTGAAAAAGAAATTTCGTCTAGTCTTGTAGAACCTAAAGAATTATCCCTGCTCCATTATGAAGTAGTCTTCCCCAGTGACAAGATACTGTTCTCCTGCGTAGAGAGAAGTGAAATAATCATACTTCTTGACTTTCTTTTTGTCAGGGCTCATGCAGATCACCATCCTTCTGGTGTGATAAAATTCCTTCAGCAATAGTAAAATTACCATTAGATCCCAGAACTCCCCTCCACACTCTCTCACCCTGACTCATTTTAGATACTTATAGGATGGCTGATTGGGTTTGGCTTACATTCTGTGGACTTTAAACAGAGACAAGTTAATTGGTCCAATCAAGAATCAAATTGTCAACCTTGGCCTCATGAGTGCAGTTTTTGATGAAGCCACAGATCTTCCATTATTTAACTGCATGACCTTGGTACATCATTACTTAGAAGCACAAAGTCAGAATGTTAGAACTGGGAGGAACCTTAGAGGCGATCTCACCCAAGCCCCTTATTTCAAAGATGAGAAAATTGAGGCCCAGGGAGTAAAATTAGCTTGCCCAAAGTCACAACTAGACTGGTTAGCTGCTAGTGATAAACCCTGGAATAGTAAACAGGTCTCCTATTGCCAGCCCATAGGTATGTTAATTTCCTATATTATTGTCAGAGGAAGGTAGTAATAACTATTATATCCATTCCTCCCTCCTTCTCAGTAATAACATAAGGCATGAGGAGACATTAGCTAAGTGAGAAAAAACAAACAGCTACACAAATTGTTGTTTTTATTGTTATTTCTTCAAACCTTTGAAAAAGCTGTGATTTCATCCATGTGGGCACCTTCTTCCTCCAATGTAGATCACAACTCCTCTATGTCACGGAAGACAACCTTTGGTCTTTGGGAGAGGGCTGTGGCCAAAAGACTAATCCCTTTGTAACCCACTGATGCTGAGCCTCTCTTAATTTAGCTAAGCTGGTCCTTGGACAAAAGGGTCATAACCTGTCCCAAGGCCTTTGAAATTTGGAAGACCCTGCTGGAGATTATGCTCTGCCAACACAGTATTTCAAGATTAGGCTACAAAACCTTTAGACTATAAAGAAGCATCACAGGAGGAATTTGGTGAAGGATTCTCATCACCATCATTATTCTACAAGAATAATAATAATAGCAACTAACATATAGGCTTTCAAAGCATGTTTCACACATTATAATATTTATAAAGCACTTAGCAAAGTACCTGGCACATAGTAGATGCTTCATAAATGCTTGCTTAAAAAATTGTCTCATTTGATCTTATTAATAACCCAGTAAGGATTCCCCATTTTACAGATGAGGAGAGTAAAGGTAAGCTCAGAGAAATTAAGTGACTTGACCAGAATCACACAGCTAGGAAGTACCTGAGATGAGGATTGAATTTCAATCAAAGTAATTTCAGTTCTTTGAAAGAAAGGGGTAAGTCCAAACTCTAACTCCTTTTCTCTGAGAAAAATATGACCAGGAAGTTAGGGAGGTCATGCAAATCTTGGTCTGACAGACAGGAAGGTGGGTTTGAGCTATGTGTTGCTTTTCAGTTGTTTCAGTCACATCTGACTCTTGGTGACCCCATTTGGGGTTTTCTTGGCAAAGGTACCAGAGTGGTTTGCCATTTCCTTCTCCAGTTCATTTTACAGATAAGGAAACTGAGGCAAAGAGGGTTAAGCGACTTGTCCAGGGACACACAGCTAGTAAGTGTCTGAGGCCAGATTTGAAGATGAGTCATACTGACTCCAGACTCCGCTTTCTATCCGCTGTACCACCTAGCTGCCCATTTGAGCTTTGTACAGATAACACAGAGACCAGTTAATGTTGTGACTTGAGACTAAATTTGAGGAATGCACACAGAGTTGGGATATTTATTGAAAGAGCTCAGGATCAAATTGAGCAATGAAAAGAGAGGAATGGAATGATGACTGTTACAGGCAAGTAGAAAATAAATAGACCTCTACCTAGGGTATCGTCACCACATTACCATTTATCTTCCTTTTTAGCATGGAGAGAATAAGGCTCGTGCATTACTTTGTTATGCTAGCTGAAGAATTTTCAAGGGAATAGTAATCACTTGCATTTATATCATTCTTTAGAGTTTGCAGAGCCCTCTCTTCACAACTCAGTAAGCTAACTAGCATATTATTGCCAGCACTTTACAGATAAGGAAGCTAAGACTCAGGGAGCTTAGTGCTTTGCCTCACAGTCAGCTTGAAAGTGCCTAAGGTAAGATTTTGACCAGAGTGTCCTAACCCCAGATCTAACACCTCATGCCACACTGCTTCCATTATACTGAACACATTACACACATGCCAATAAACAAAATTACTGTATCCGTTAACATATTCTATCACTGAAAAAGTAAAGCAAATCACTTCATCTCCCTTGACCTCTGTTTCTTCAATTTGAAAATCTTGCACATCCAAATGAATGTTGCTGGGGCAGTTAGGTGGCATGGTGGATAGAGTACTGGCCCCAGAGTCAGGAGGACCTGAGTTCAAATCCGGCCTCAGCCACATAATACTAGTTGTGTGACTCTGGACAAGTCACTTAAACCCAATTGCCTTACCAAAAAAAAAAACCATAAATGTTGTCCTCCAAAATTGTTTCCTTTGGAGTCCAGATACTCATTCCAATAATGCCACTATTATTTTAACCATTTGCAAAACTCTTATTTGGGAAATGTCCTCAAAACTAGTTTTGACAGCACATAAAAAACCAGAATTTTATTAGGAACGAATTTTAGAAGGGAGCTTTGAAATTATGTAATCTGACCTCATTTATAGATGAGGTGCAATATGACCTGATGAAAAGAATAATGAACTTGGTTTCAAAGGACCTAAGTTCAAATTATGGCTGAGCCATGGACTATTTCTGTAACCTTCAGGAAGTCATTTCACTTCCGTGGGCCTCAGTCTTCTCAGCTGTAAAATGATGGAAGACTCCTTAGGTTCCTCCCAGCTCTGGATTCTATCAAGTGCCTTGTTGAAGGTTTACAAGTTAATGGCAAGTCTGTTTGCAAGTTAATGGCAAAACTAGGATCAGAATCCAGGTCCTAAGCATCCCGGGTTCTTTCCACTACCCAGAATATCATTGTCTTATAGTCACTCATCATTAGGGATAGGGATAAATACTAGATCTGTGAGTTCAGCTCTCTAACCACCACACCACACTGCGATAATTATTGATTCAAAATGACATTTCCCAACTTTATCACCCATATCAGTGGTCTCAAATTCAAATAGAAACAGGGGGCACTATTCCATAGGCAAGCCCAAAGTCTGCATATTGATTTAGTTTTAAAACATATTATTATCTATGTTTTACTGTATCTCTATTTATTTTGTTAAATGTCATCCAATCGCATTTTAATCTGGTCAGGGCCACACTGGGGAGTGATACAGGCTGGCCTGCAGGTAAGCATTTGACAAATCTGACTTAAATCATTCCCCAAATGCAGTACAAAGCAACTTTTGGCTGTTTGCAAGAAGCAAATTCACCCTCAAAAAATAAGGGTGTTGTGGAACTGGAGCCACGTTTTGTTCTTGGTACCATATGTTAAGAAAGACTTTGGCAGACTAGAGCACGTCCAGAAGAGGGCAAGCAGGATAGTGGAAAGACTAGAGATCATGCCATTCTAGCATCACTCTCAGAGAACTAGGGTTGTTTACTCTGCAGAAGAGAAGACATAGCTTGGAGTATTTGAAGTCTTGCCATGTGGACAAGGTATTAGATGTGCTCTGCTTAGCCTGAGTAGGCAGAACTAGAATAAGCTGGCAGGAGTTACAGAGAAGTAGATTTAGGTTCACTGAAAGGCAACACTTGCTAATAATTAGAGCTGACCAAAAGTAAAGCAGACTGCCTATAGAAGTAATGGGTTTCTCTTTCCTAGAGGTCTTCAAACGGAGTTTGGAAGATCAGCTGTCAGGAACGTTCGTAGGAGGGATTTCTATACAGGCAGGGAAAAGACTACATGGGTCTGAAGGCCCTTCCCACCCTGAGATTCTGTGATGCCTCCCTCAAGGTTTGCCCCTGTGAAAGCTATCCAGTGAAATACGCTGCTGGCTCACAAAGCACTTTCAAAAGAGGTTTTCAAAAGCAAAAAGTGTTTTGAGCAATGGCAATATCTTTGGAATAAAGGTTTAACTTCCCAGGGGGATTACTTTGATCAGTTCTTTATACATTTAGAAGAAAAAAAAATTCTGGTGGGTTTGTTTAAAAACTAGTCTAACCATATTATTGTACATAAGCCAAAATGAATTTATAATTCATAAATTAGGATGTTATAAAGTCAAGAAAAACAATCAACTGAGGCCCTCCTCGAACGAAATGCTTTTAGCCATCTGCTGAAAAGATTATCTTTCTTGAGGCAGCGTGGTTCAGTGGCAAGAGTTCAGTACTTTCCTGCTGAACTTGGAGTCATGGGATCTAAGTTCAAATCCCAATTCTGTCATTTACTTTCTGAGTGACTTTGAGCAAGTTGTTGCACCTCTCTAGGCCTCAGTCTGTTCATCTGAAAAAAGAGGAGGTTAAAAAAAAGAGAGGGTTGGATTAGATGGTCTCTGAGATCTCTTCTAACTCAGAATCTATGATACTGTAGTATGAGAGATCTCATTTTGGGGAAGCTACTAGAGAGAAGGGGCTGCAGTTTTTCACGCAAGCAGAAAAAATGACATATTGGATAGATAGTTTATGTCAAGCATACCTTACAGAACTGGCCCCAGGCCAAATCATAAAGTTTTCCAGAGCCTTGAAATCCCCCCAGAGAAACATCCCACCTATCTGCATGGTAAATCCCACCCTTGTCAGATGGCCTCCCCTATCAAAACCTATAATCAAGAAAGGATTTGTTAGTTGTGTGACCTTCTCCCTCCCTTCTGGGCCTCATTTTCTTCATATGTCAAATGAGGGGGTTGAACTAATTGGTCTCTAAGGTGTTTCCATCTCTAAAGATTCCATGTAAACTCATTTACACTTAAATTTAAATGGTTGATAAGGCTTAACGTGCACTTTCAGGCATCATTAAGCAGGTGGGGGAGATTTGGGGATGTGGGAAGGGGTGGATTTTCTGGGACCCTGAAACCACTCATTTCCCAAGGTTCTGCAGGCCACTTAAAATCCAAGCATGGGGCTCCTGAAAGTATGTTACTTGTCCTCACTGCTGCCTCTAGCATCTGTGAAAAGCAGCTGGAGGAAGCCACCTCATGGAGCAAAGGAGAAATTGCAGCTGTCAATGGAGGGGTGCTAATGCACCTATTTTCAGCTGCAGCATCTGTCTCTGTGACTGGCGTTTGTGACTAGCTCCCCAGGCTGTGCAGCTGTCAGCTCCAGGAAATCTAAATCAGTCTACTTGGGAGCCGGCTGCCTTGTCAGGAGCTCCAGAAAGAAATGGGGCCGAAAGTGAGACTCTTGCCATAGGATTTCTGATGCAATCGCTATGTCTCTCTGCAGCAAAGAGACTGCACCAAATTATCTGGCTCCCCTCGGGGAATCCTTTAGACTTCTGAATGTGTAATTTGTCACCACAGTCCATTAAATCTGGCAGATAAGCTAACCCAAACGTCTACCAGGTCGAGGGGGATTTTTCCTTCTCAAAATGAATCTTTCGTCACACATCTCCTTTGACACGATCTTGTTCAGAGCTAACTATAGCATCCCAGGATAGGCTTACCCTCTGAGAGCAATCAGGCATTTTCCCCAAGGGGCCTGTGGGGACAATTGGGGCCTTTTTCTACTTTAATTTGAATCCTTTCAATATTCTTAATTTTGTTGGGGGACAGGGAGGAGCAGTAGTTGAGGAGAAAAGAATGAGATTTTAGAGGTTAGGAAAGGAGAAATGATCCATGCAAAACCGTGAAGCAGACCAAGTTGTGGTAGAAATAGTGGTGACCCTTGGACAAATCATTTCACCACAGTTTCCTCATCTGTGAAATGGAAACTGGAACTAGATTTCTAAAGTCCTGTCCAGCTCTACCGTTCTCTGACTTCCGTTTGCTTTCGAATCCTTCATTCTCCCTCTCTTAATGTCCCTTCCCATCTCAGGCATTAGGTATACTCCTGCTGCCCTGGTCATCTCTTTCTAGAACAAAGCTGTCTTGACAAAAGCAAAAACCCATTCACATTTGGAACTTGATACATTCCCCTTTCCAAAAATATTTGCATTTCTTTAAAAGTATATGCAGGGAAGGACATGGTAGAATTTCCAGCATTGTAGTATCATGGATTCAGAGCTGGAATGGACTCCAGACATCATCTAATCCAACCCCCTCATCAGTGGGGGGAAAGAATATCAGTCAAAAGTTTAGATTATATTCCATAGCAAAAGATGAGCAATTGAAAACTTTTTATTGAGGGGGATAACACAATATTTAAAAACAACTCTGGAAAACTCAACTGACAGTCTTGTTTAGGATTTCAGATTAAGAAAAGGATTATATAGGGGAGAAAGTGGAGGCAGAGAGATCAAGTAAACTATTACAATAGGTAATGAAAGTCCTAACTAGGCAGTCACAGTGGAAATTGAGATAAGAAAATTGTTTGGATATATAGTATTTGCAAAGCAATACAATGTTAATTCTTAACATCTCTTAGATATTCCTGCCTTTTTGTCTCTTTGGAAAGGTCTCTTTGTCTCAAATGTCTCTTTGATGGTTATTGCAATACCCGCAGGGAGGACACATTTTTGCTAAGCAATCAGCTTAGCACCCCTCCACTAGTACCACATTAGACAGCCATAAAAAGTAATGTCAACTTTGCTTAAAGAAAACACACACACACACACACACACACACACACACACACACACACACTTAAAAACTATGTATTACTCTCCCCATCATTGTATATGATTCTTTATTCCCAAGATGTCTTTAGGGTCATAGATAGCTTTAAGAGCTTAAAATGATCTTAGAGATCATCTCCTCCAACTACTCATTTTGAAGATGAGGAAATTGAGTACCAAAGTAACAGCTACTAAGGGGCAGAGCTGGAATTTGAACCCAGGTCCTCTGCATTTTTTCTACCATACTAGGGTGCCTCTTTCAAGATTTGTGGTTATTGCTGTTTGCATGTCCCGCCTTATCAAAGACATAGTGTTATGTTCTAAGAAAAGGAGGACACCTCTTTGGTTGACTGCTCTCTCTTCTGTTTCTAAAGAATAATGCACGACGAAGTAAGTGAAACTGAGAACATTCGGAAAAATCTGGCAATTGAAAGAATGATCATAGAAGGGTGTGAAATTCTCCTGGACACCAGCCAGACTTTTGTGAGACAAGGTATAGCACTCATACCAATGACATGCTCCTATCACATGGATAAACTGCCAGTTTGTTTTGCCACTATACGTCAAAACCTCTTTTCATGTTTTTCTATCATTATGGGGTGCTATAAGGCATAAAACTACAGTACTATATATATATATATACACCATTTTCACAGTTTCCTTTTCTCCAGATGTAAACATAATTATATACAGATGGCCTCAGTTACTCTATTGTGTGCTATAGTAAACATTGGTACTTTCATGTTTGTTTGACTTTTTTTAGCACAAAGGATATCAATTTCATGTGACAGATTTAATCTCAGACATCCTGGATACTAGAGACAGAATATAGCTGTTAGACCTTTTCTTCTGACATTTGCTTAGAAAGTATCTCCTAATGACCAAACCAATGTTAGTCCATACACTTTATTCTCACTGGTGGGAAGCTTTTCCAACCATTCAAATCTACAAGATCTCTTAAAAAGAAAAGGAAGAAGCAGTGGAGGGCAGTGTCAAGGATGTGTCGCCAGAGGGCAGAAGGACAGAGATCCTTTTTCCCTATATCTGAGGTGACTGAAGATCACACTAATGATGTCAGTCAAATGTTTAAGGATCAGAGGTATACACAGAATCCTTTCACCTGTAAAGAGCAAGGTGATGGCCTGGCAAAAGTGGTTTTAATCCATGGCCATGTCCCAAAGGGATTGTGTGTGGAAACAAGTATTTTACAAGTGGTCCAAGTATCTATGTCATTTAAGGCACATGCCGAGAGATTACAATAATCTTTTTATAAAAGCCTCAGGCTACAGATCTCATTGTAGGCTGCCCTCTATTATACCCGCTGCTACTATTTCTCATTTATATTTTTTCTGCCTGTTGCTTTCTCAGTCAGATAGGAAATAGTCTATGCAAAGGTATAGCCAGCCTGCTCTTGTCTCCCTGGGGAAGCTGGCCCCCAATGGTTTAGTTCTGAAGTGATAGGAGGGGGTAGGCATGTGTGGAGGTGGGAAAGCACCCCTGCCACATGCTCAAGAATATTGTGTGTAGGCAGGGCAGGGTCTTCCCAGGGAAAGGTACCTGCCACCCTGGAGAGCTTGCTCCATGCCAGCAGGCACTCTCTATAGCATCAGAAGCTGAATTTGTCAATGCTTCATCATCCCTAGTCACTAATTTGGTTCTATCCAAAGAAAGATAGATGATACATGCATGCATGAATAAATACGAATATATGCATATAAATAGATGATACATACATATATACTTACATAGAAACAGATACAAGGTACATAGACATATAAATGATATATATAATATATCTATTCATAGGTGTATAGATAGATAAATAGATAATAAATACATAGGTACATGATACATAGATAGATACATTGATAGATAAAAAGATAGATAGATAGAAAGAAAATTTATAAGTGTTTACTATGTATCAAGCATAGTGCTAAATGCAATCCATCCCCAGATCTACAGTGAGGCCCAAGAAGCCTACTCTAGTCTGTTATCTAGATTGGGCTGAAATCCAAAGACCTCTGCTCTACACTGGAAAAACCCAAATCTCCAAAGCAATCATGCAGCTGCTAGGGTCAGAGTATGGGGAAGCAGAGTTAGGAGTCCCTGATGAGAATGTCCCAGACTTCCTCGTGGTGGGACAGTGTTTACACTCACTGTCTGCACCTCAGAACCAATTCAGCTCTAATATTAAGGGAATAAAATGCCCAATACCCTGGAGCCCAACTCCTTTGAGCTGTCTTCACGTAGGGCAATTCTCTTCAATGGAATACATGGAATGGGGGGAGAGAAGTTTCTGTTGCTATATACAATTGATATTTTCCTATTAAGAAATGTTTCTACCATTCTCATGCTGCCATATACATGACTCCAGAATTGCACATACCTCTCAAATGCATATATACAGTTCAATTAGCCAAACATTTATCAAGCACATGTGATAAACAAGTCACAATGTTAGGCACCAGGGATACAAAAGTACATGTGGGCCAAGAGAACTGTAATATATGGCACACAAAAGACGTACCAAAATACTATAGGAATTAGAGAAAGGATTACTTCCCACTAGAGTGATCAAAGAAGATGGCATTTCAACTGGATCCTGGAGGACGGATAGGAAAAAAGAAGGAAGGGAATAAGCATTTATACAGTGCCTACTATGTGCCAAGAACTATGTTAGGTGCTTTTTATAAATATTATCTCATTTGGGTAGAAAAGAGTTAGATCTAGGGAGTGGAGAAGGTGTGGAATGGAGGAAAGCCATTTCAGGCAGAGGGAGCAGCCCATATAAGGGATCAAAAGCAAAAAAGCACAGGACATCTTTCAAGAAGAGCAAGTAATCTCAGCTGATCTTGTCATCAGTAAACAAGCATTTATTTAGTGCTTATTATATACCAGACACTACTGGGCTAAGCACCAGGGGATACAAAGAAAGGCAAAAATAGTTCCTGCCTTCAAGGAGCTTACATTTTAATAGGAGAAGCAACATGTAAATAACTAGATACATACAAGATAGGTACAGAGTAGATGAAATTTAATCTGAGAGGGGAAAGACTGGAAGCTAGGGAAACCACGAAAGGCCTTCTACAGAAGGCAGAACCTGAGCTGAGTCTTAAAGGAAGCCAGGCAATCCAAGAGGCAGTGATAAGGGGGAAAGAATATTCCACACCTGGGGGACAGCCAGCATAAAGTCACAGGCACAGGAATGCTTGAAAAGCTGCAAAGTCAGCAGAGCTAGATCACAGAGTATGTGGAGTGGTGTCAAATGCAAGACTGGAAAGGTAGGAAGGGACCAGGTTCACAAAAAAGTTAAATGCCAAACAGAGGAGTTTAGATTGGATCCTGAAAGTAATAGGGAGCCAGAGTATCTCAGTGATCAGGTATGGCACAATCAGACTTCCACTTCTCTCTTGTGCATGGTTGGCCTATATCTCAGAGCAAGGTGTTACATCCATGGCATGTCCTTTCAGGAGGGATGAGAAGTTTTCTTGAAATCAAAAGGTCCTCCCTGTGTGAGAGAGCCCTCTTTTTGTGTGGCCTTTCCAGTCATTCTTCTGCCCTTGTGCTCTCTTGCCCAACCCTGTTCCCTTCTTACACTCACCTTGAAGATTGTGAGTTAATCAGTTAAGAAACTGGTAACCCCCTTCTAATAGTCAGAACCTTGGGATAAAAAGGCCTTCTAAATATATAATGCTGTCCTGGGGAGATCTGTAGGAAGTACAGGGAGATTCTCAGCTTCCTGCTGGAGGTATTATAAGACTGGAATTTCTTCTGCTCAAAGACAGAACTATTTTTCCCATGACCACTCTCTCAGAACCTAATCCCATATGTTTGATGTAAAAAATAGTCTCAGAGTAGGCAGAATGATGCTAAAGGAATTGCAGTGCATTTCTGTTCTCTTAATAGGTTCGCTCATTCAGGTGCCTATGTCTGAAAAAGGAAAAATCACAAGAGGACGTCTGGGGTCACTGTCCTTAAAGAAAGAAGGAGAGAGACAATGCTTTTTGTTTTCTAAGCATTTAATTATCTGCACTAGAGGCTCTGGTGGAAAGCTACACTTGACAAAGGTAAGACTAAGGAAGATAGGAGCTGGGATCTGTCTGGCCTGAATAATTCAATACCAAAGAGAATAAAAGCAGGGATGTCCCTGATAACAATGATACCATAACATTACAGAGGTTAGATCAAATGAGGACTGAATGTAAGCTTCACCCACAAAGGCAGCCCACCCTATTCCAATCTTCCTGAATAACTAGCCTTCTGATTGAGCCTCTATTTGGGAGAAAAAGAGAAATGATGGGAGCAATCATTTGGGAACTATTGTTGTGGTTTTAAAATAATGATATGGGCTGTATGTCATGAATTATCGTTGTGTACATTCAGGCCAGGGCTGCTCAGAGTAAGTCAGCGATGGAACTTGAATCTATCTAGCGAATCAAGAGCTTTCAAACATGAGGAAATAGATCCCTCTTCTGGGTGAAGAAATACTTCATGCCTTAAAACCCAAAACACTGATGCAATATTGGAATAGACCCATATTACTCATATTTTTCCCCCACAAGTTCCCTAAACCTGCTTAATTTTTGCTCTCTGAAGATATTTTATTCTAATGGGGCTCCACAGAAAATGTGGGATTCAACGGTGTTGCCCAGCCCTTCCTCCTTGTATATTGTGTCATCTGGTTCCTCATTCATCTTCTCTGTCTTTCTACCAATGTAACTGGATGGATGTCTGAACTTTCCATCAGCCTCAGGCCATCCAATAATGATTTTGGCTGGTCCAATGCTTTTGCTGGATAGCTTGAGGCTGATTGACAATGTCACTAGCTGGTGGAGGATGCAAAAGATGTAGGCCTAGTAGAGTACAAGCATGGGGGATGGAGCAAGAATCTAACTAGACCATCGTGTCAGCAATGAAGAGCAAGAATGAGTATGAGGGGTCAGGAGAGGCCTTTGTTGTGACTTTACACACTGTTCCCAAAGATTGTGTTCCATTTTATTTAACCTACTCTTTATTTTACTCTTACAAGCCTGGATTTTGTTGGTGAATAAATAGCCATACCCCAGAAGTATCTTTTGGCTCAAGAGAAAATTCCCTCTCTCTCTTGTTTGACAGTGAAATGACAAATTTTCACTGGCACACCTTGGTCAAAAGCATTACTAGAAACACAGAAAGCTGTTTAATTGGATTTCATTTTTAAACACAACACATTCTCCAGTCCCTTCCTAGGACTTCGGCTTGGGGATAAGAAGGTTGCCTTAATTGAGCCAGAATCTCAGTGGAGCAGCTCATTACTGTCACTAAATTACTGGTCTGAAATATCATGCATTATATGGCAGAAAGCCATTGGTTTGAGCAGTTGACTACAGGGATTTTGCTGCTTATATTAATTTACCAACAAATTAGCTTATTACTTGCATGAGGGAAATTAACAATTTTCAAATATCAAATTATCCATTTTCAACAAATCTGAGCATGAAATACACATCAAGGAAATCTTTCATGGTTTATTGGTTTTTGAATTTTAATTACTAAAGATCTGCCATGGATGTTAACACAAAAGTTTCCTCCTTCAGGGGGAAGGTTGTATTAGATGACCTCTAAGGTCTCTTACTACTTGGAGTCTATAATTTTTCTTGGCTATTTCTTAAAATGGAGTAGAGACTCTGCTGTATATTACAAGGCTCATTATTACTTGGCTTTTTACCTAATAAGAGTCAATCTGCAGCTCCCTAAACTTAATGGCTTATTAAGATGAACTTTTCAGAAGTAAGTGGGAATGAAAACTTTAAATTAAAAAAAAACTTGCAAAGATGAAAACATAATAATATATAATCGTAATAGCTGGCATTCATATGGCACTTTAAGGTTTAAAAAGTACCTCACATACATTAACCCATTTGAGCCTTGCAACACGCCTGTGAAATAAATATTACTGGCAATATCTCCATTTTATAAAAGGAATAGAAGAGAATGGAATGGAAAAGGATTCATTAAGTGCTTATTATGGCCCAAAGATTGTGTTAGGTTCTGGGAACGCAAATTTAAAAGTAAATCAGGCCCTGCTCTCAAAGAACATTTTAATTGGAGAAAACAATGCATAGAAGAGTTCAGTTGCATGATTGATGGAAAGACTTGGTGGTCCTTAGGAAGCTGGACCAAGAATGTTATGGGAAGGATTCCATCCTCTTTGGCCTGGTTCCAAATGAGTAAACTGAGGTTCAGAGAGTCTGTGACTTGCCCAAGATCACACAACTAGTAAGTGTCTAAGGCAGGATTTAAACTCAGGTCTTCTGATTTTGTGAGCAGCTATCCATTACAGTACTCACTCTCTCTTTCTCTCTCTCTCTCTCTCTCTCTCTCTCTCTCTCTCTCTCTCTCTCTCTCTCTCTCTCTCCCTCCCCCTCTCCATACATATATATATATATATACACATATATATGTGTACATGTATGTATGTGTGTGTATACTTCTCTGCTATAACATGGAAAGCCTGTGACAAGTGATAGTTTTGGGGGGTTTTTTTAACCATTGGCATTAATAAAGAGTTGTTAGCTGCAAAAATTCTGCTCTCATACCTCAAAATGTCATAGAGGTGATATTGGGTCTTCAAAGTCTACACCAGCAGAGCACACACTCTGACAGGTATTACCAAGCTAAAAAAGCTTAAAGTTCAGGACTAGCGGCAAATTGCCTACAATTTGGTCCCAATTATTATAAATAATTAATCCCCTGAACTAGTCACATATACTTGAATTCACACTATTTTAACAACTACATAAACTATAGACATTGCTTCCAAGCCAATGCAACTATATAATTCAAGATCAAATTATGAGGCCACTTCAGGGGGATTCATTATTTACACTAATTAGAACATAGCTGTACCTGTCACCCAAGAAGCAATCTAAATACAGAGAGGCTCATGATTAAAAGATTAACCATCAAGTAGTTATTTGGGGAGAAAGAAGCACATTGACTTATGAACTGGTTTAATAGATAAAACATGGAAGTGATTCCATCTGACTAGATCTAAGGCATATCTGTAGTGATGAAAACATGAGTCTTCTGAAGCATAAAGGGGAATTTAGTCACAGATCTTGAAGGGACTTTAAAACCTATAATCAGCAGCCTAGACTTCTATATGTAAGCATGACACAGGACCCTCTTTATTTGATTTCAATGTAGGTCACATTGCTATTTTAGTTATTTGTAGAAGTTAGTTTTATTTGTTTAAATCTATTAAATGGTATGTCTATAAAGATACAGGTCACTAGGATAATATCATAAGATAAAGAAATAAAAGAAAACTGGGAGATTATGTAGTTCAACCACTTATTTTAGGCATAAGGAAACCAACACTCAGAGGAAGAGAAGTGGTTTTCCTAACATCACAAAACTAGCTGGGGATGTATTCATGACTTGAACCCAGATCTCTAGAATCCTCACTCAGCATTATATATCCTATATCACACCACCTCAGATACAAGAGGTAAAAGGCATTTTTCCAGATATTCCGAAAAAATTGAAAAAGCAGAAAATAACATATTGAAACTTGAGATTCAAATTAATCCACATGCTGCTGTTTTTCAGAACGGAGTGATCTCGCTCATAGACTGTACCTTGATGGAAGAGCAAGAAAGTACAGATGAGGAAAGTAAGTATTCACACTTCTTCAAAAATAACTAACCCATAGAGTTTACAGCCCCCGACAGGAGGCTACTTGGTTTAAAGCAGGTAATGATTTTCTTCTACAGTCAAAAAAAGTTGAAAAACATACCTCTCCCTGGTAATAGAAGCCTAGATTTAGAGCTGGAGGTAAGTGGAGGGATCATCCAGCCAAACCCCCTCATTTTACAGGTGTGGAAAATAAATCCTAATGAGATTAAGTGACCTGACAGAGGTCATAAAGGTCCTAAAGTGGCAGAGTTAAGATTGGAACCCAGATTTCAACTCCTATGCACACATTGACTTACCATATAGAGACAGGCATCTAATTTGTCTAAAAAATGATCTAGGCTCTCTGTCACACTAGTCATCAAAGGGATCAAAGGACTTGACACTGTTATTTATTCTAGCTAAAATGTAATAGCATGAACTATTTTTTTCATTGTACCGCAGTGACTAGAACACAGTAGATATCTAATAAATGCTTGGGAAATTGAATTGGATTGGAAGGGACAGAAAGAATAAATATTCTTACCTCTCCTCCCTTCCTTTTTACAGATTAGGTAATGAAGGTACAGTGCCTGGGTCCCAAGTTTGTCTTCCTGCATCCTAAATTAGTTCTGGGGAAACAAGGTCATGTGCCCATATTCCCAAGTTACAGAGAGGGAGTGAATGCTGGCCCTCTTAGCTATGGTGAAGAGCCTTCCAGGAAACCTCTGTTCTCCCTTCCCCATCTGATGAAGTCCTAGCTAAACACTCCATCAAAAGGAAGCAGAGGTAATACAGGACCTCTGCTGGATTGGAACAGTGCATCTTGAGAAGTGCAACTAAGGCAAGAGAGTTAGGGCTTAAAAGGCTGTACCTTATGTCCATCAAGGGCATTAGTCTTATTATTAATGTGTTCATGTGATGCTTTAATTTCTGCAGCTTCTTCCCCAAGGTAACTCCCATTGGAGTTCACTCTGTCCTTTCATTTGTTTTAATAGCCAAAGTGTTCACAGAGATTTCTAGATTCATAAACCTACAACAAATTGTGAATTACCTAGCTTCTGTGTCTGTCACTTCATATGAGCCAGTGCATCTTTCTGGACACCTGGACATCTTCTAACGATGAGTAAGGATGTGCCAAAAGGGAGCCATTTGGAATTTGTGGAAATTGTGGCCTAGAAATGGGGCCTTCATTTTCCTAAATGTTCTAATCTTTTAGAAAAAAATGTAATAAAAAGGCAATCAAGGAATGTTTATACTTCTTATAAAACCAAAGGATCCTGAGTACCACCCATTGTCATCTTGCCCTGGGCATGTGACCACAGATTACTACATAGTTCATTACCATCTTTTAGATTTGTTGTTTTTGGACTCAGAGGATGGAACCAGGAGCCACGAGTAGAGGTTCCAAACAGGTCAGTTTGGGCTTGATGTCAACAAAAAATTCCTAATAATTAAAGCTATCCAAAAATGGAATGAGCTACCTTGATGGGTAGTGAATTCACCATCATTGCAAGTCTTCAAGAACGTTATAATAAAGACTTTCAGGTAGGTGATAAACCAGATGACCATTGAGGCTACTGCCAACTCTCAATCCTGGAATTCTATGATTTTACTGAATGTAGTGTTTGTGTTATGGAGATAAAGATTAGGCCTGTGATTTCATTGGTATAGGGAACTCCCAGGTAAAGAAACTCCTTCTACTAAGACAGATCAGCACTCCTCTAAAATTTACAATCCTAGAGAACTGACTAAAGCACTGAGAGATTAGCAAAGAGCTCTGTGCCCAGGCTCCCAAAGCCAGGTTATGTTAAGGGTCGTACTTGAACTGGTGTCTTCCTGACTCTGAGGTCAATTCTCTATCCAGTACATCACATATGAACGCTGTTACTCTACACTCTGGGAAACAGCTATCACATTTATGGACTTATGTAAGAAATATTCTCTCAACTCCACTATCTTTAACCTTCTTGCCCATTTGACATGGAACAAATCACTTTACTTCTGAAATGGTTTGGGGGAAGGCGTGTTACACTAGAAGGGCAGCTAGGGGGTGTAGTGGATAGAGCCCTGGGCCTGGAGTCAGGAAGAACTGAGTTCAAATCCAACCTCAGACACTTACTAGCTGTGTGACCCTGGGCAAGTCACTTAACACTGTTTGCCTCAGTTTTCTCAGTTTGGAGAAGGAAATGACAAACCACTCCAGTACCTTTGCCAAGAAAACCCCAAGAGACAAAGAGGCAGACATGACTGAAAAATGACTAAACAACACTGATATGCATTGGTTAAGAGAGTTCCCAAACTAGGAGCTCCATATACCAATGGAATCATGGAGTCCAGATGAAAAACAAAAACTAAAAAAAGTTCCCCCTTAGAACACAAAAACCAAAAGGCACTTACATGAAATCTTCTGGTCTAACCTCTCCCTTTCATAAATAAGAAAATTCAAGCCTAGAGAGATAAAATGACTGCCCAAGGTCACCCAGTTTGTGAGTGGTGGAGCCAATACTCGAATTCAGGTCTCACGCCTCCATTATGCACTAGACAAAATGATAATGGTCCCTTTTGAGATGCTTTCATCTCATGAAACTAGGTATTCAAGAATGTAAGAATAGTTTCAGGTATTTAACAAGATAAAAATGCTGTGGATTTAGTGTCCCTTCAAAGAAATTGAAATTTTACAACATTCCAGACAAAACCACAAAAAAAGCAGACAGTCTGACATCTATCAAAATACCCCTTGGTTTCAGAGGAAGCATTTAGGGGTGGGAGAGGAAGGGGCAGATGAGGCAAAGAGGTAAGTGTGTATGTGTGTGTGTGTGTGTGTGTGTGTGTGTGTGTGTGCGCGCGCGCTCACGTGCACCTGTGCATGTGTGTGGGAGGAAGGGAAATAGAGACAAATGTTAGAGGAGAGATGAAGGAGAGAAAGACAGTGGAGAGGAGAGAGGGGAGAGAGAAAACAGAGACAGAAACTGAGAGAAGAAAAGGGGTGAGGGAGATAAAGAAGAGAAGGGAAAGAGAAAGGAGAAGAGAGAGGAGGGGGGAGGTAAAGACAGGAAGGAAGAGAAAAAAACGAGGAGAGGAGAGGAGAGGAGGAGAGATGACAGACAGAAAGACAGAAAGAAGGAGGAAGAGATAGTAGAGAAAGGGAGAAGAGAGAGATAGAAAGAAAGATAGACAGAGACAGAAAAGAACCATACATAAAACAAGCAAATACAAAATGAATCCCAAAGTTCTGGCTAACCTTTACACAAATATACAAACCAAAATGCTTAGCTTGGCCTGCTAACCATTCCCAAAGTACAACATTTCATCTCCCCATCTTTTATGCCTTTTTACAGGTGCACTCCCATGCCCAGAATGTACTCCTTCCTTACCTCTGCTTCATAGAATCCCTACCTTCCTCCAAAGCCCAATTCAGGTGCCCCCCCCAGTGGTTCTTTGCTGGTCTCCCCAGTTGTTAACTCTCCCTTTCGAAATTACTTTATGTGTATTACTTTTTATATATCTTCTATTTACTTACATATATGTTGTATACGTCAATAAAATATAAGCTACAAGGTAGTTTTTCCTCTTTGTATCCTAGCAACTAATACAATGCCTTACAATGAATAGACACTTGATATATTTGTTGAGTTGAATTGGATAGATTTGATTTTATTTGTCCTTTTCCCATCTGTAAAGTGATTCCCCAACTTAGAGATGACTCAGAAAAAATAATAAGTGGTCAAACTTGCTATTAAAATGCTGTGCACAATGCTTAAGTTAATGTATCTAAAGTTGTAGTGGCTATGTTATCATTAAAAAGTATTCTAGCAAAGAGAGTAGGAAAAGAATATTTGGTCTGTGAGAATGATCTCTTTTGAATTCTAAAGATAAAGCCTCTGGACAAGATATAGACCACTTGGATTTTAAGATTGTGGTCGAGCCAAAAGACTCTCCATCTTTCACTGTCATCCTTGTGGCCTCCTCCAGACAAGAGAAAGCTGCCTGGACAAGTGACATTAGTCAGGTAAGAAGAAATCTGAAGAGAAAGTGAAACTTCCTCTGAAGAGTTCAAGGGTTTGCTTTGCTGGATATGGATGATGTAGGAGTTTTCCTAATTTACCTTTAAGCTAATTACAAAAAGTGGAAGAGCAAACAATGTCTAAAAGGACAGATAGAGATGGAAATATTGACTAGCTTTGTGGATCCTGATGATGAGATAAGCTTCTCTATCCCATATATGTACATGAAATATTGAACAGTGGAAACCCATCCTAAGAGGAAACAATAAAGCAAAATGACTGAAAACATAAATGCACAATAATGGAGGCAAATTAATCTGAACAAGTTACTTGAAGACTCAAAAAATCTGTCATAAAACTCAAGAAGCCCAAAACATCAATTATCCAAAGTTGTGATTTAGTCTTGGAGGCAGCTAGGTAGCTTAGGGGATAGAGCACTGAGCCTAGACCTGAGTTTAAATCAGGTCTCAGGCATTTACTAGCTGTATCCTGAGTAAGTCACTTAACCTCTGTTTGCCTTAGTACTAGAGTGGCAAACCACTCTAGTATCTTTGGAAGAAAACTCCATGAACAGGATTTATTGTGCTTTGGTCCACAGGGTCAAGAAGAATCAGACATGACTGAACTACTAAACAACAACAAGGATTTAGCTTTAGTCTCAAGAATTTACCAGATTAAAATCCAATTTAGAAGAACTAAAACTTTTAGGTCGTAAAAGTTGCTGATAAAAGATTGCATCATTCATTAATCAGAATGAACTAACATTTTCTAAATAGACTCGGCCATACCCAACTAGAGCTACAAGACTTGTGTGGAAGTCAAATCTGATAAGATGTGGAACAGGTGTAACAACTACCTGAGAAGCCCTGACAGATTTGGTTCACAAAAGGGTGAATTAACTTTTCTTAGTTCAGTATCATGGAAGATATCTCTAATTCTTAGCAAATGCATGCTCTCAAGAGAGAGCAGGCAGAAGAAGATATACTGGTATAAATCCATCACCACTACAGTAAAAAAGACCCCAAAGCATATGCCTTTTGGGTCAGTATCACTAATCAATCAAGAAACATTAAACCCAACTATGTTCCAGGAAGCACACTGTTAGATTTGCTTAAAAAGATAAAGAGTTAATAATTGTTTGCAGGATCACACATTCCTAAAAGGCTAGAGGAAAAAAAATGAATGATTACGTTAAAAGCAAGGTAGGCTATTATTAAAGCATTCTATTCAAATTTGTACCCAGCTGCCTGCCTGGCTGCCTACCTGGCTGCCTACCTGCCATTAAATGTTACAGACATCTGGTGGAGTTTATCCAGTTAGTGTTAATATAGATGATGACACCCTTGTAGCTGCATAGCAACATATTTAAAAGAAGTCAAATTCCCACAGAGAAAAAAACAGAGTTCAGGACCAGAAGTCCATGTGGTTGCCAGTTCTGTACTTATATATGGTAATTGCTTAAGCAAATAAATGTTTCTTAAATTGAAATCTCAATTTCCCCTTTATGAACTAATCTTGGGAGAAGGAAACAGATTAAGGAAGATAGGAAGGGATATTGGGAAGAGAGTCAGTTGAAGTATTTGACTGGCTAGATTATAGTCATAATATCCCTTTATAAATGGCTAAATAGCTACATCTACATAGAGATTTAGACTTATAGACAAATGTATACATACCTATATATACATGTATATGTATATATAACTTGGCACATATGTAGCTTTATAGACAATATATTTACCTTCATCATGTAAAATGCAAGCTCTTTGAGGACAAGGAGGGGTTTTTTGTTTGTTTTTCCATTCCCTGAACCTAGCATAGTGCTATGTGCATAGTAGATACTTAGTTTTAGTGACTGCAAACTTAACTGAGAATCCTGTGGATTGTCAGCCACACAAGTATTCAAGCAATAAGCAGTAGCAATTGACTGGACAGTGATCCTCTCAGAGTAACCAAAACCTACCTTTCTCATTTTGCCGCCTGATTTTGAGTACCTAATTCCTAAATTCTAGCTATTAACTCTTTTCTTCAGTCATATGCAAGCGAGAGCTGAGTTAAAGTTCTACATTATAGTCGTTGTAAAAATGGAGCTTAGAAATGCAAACAAATATGAACATTTGTTCAAATTTCTTTGTGTCCATTTTACAGTGCAGCCAAGAACAACATATACTTATAAAGAAGCATACCTGGCCAATGTTATTGAACCACTTCCTCCTAGTACCCAAGCCTGACTCTCTGCCTGTGGGTATATCTCCTTAGGAAGCTATAGATTAATCCTTTCAAGCCTGCTTAGTAATTTTGTCAAACCTCTTAATTCTGATCATTAGATACTAATGAGTCTGAGGTCAGAGAATTAATCCCCATGAAAAGAAAAAAACTTTCTTCCAGGATAGGAATGTAAATGTGATTCAAAAAAAAAAGTTTTATTCCTAGGATTTATTTTAATCTAATCTATCTTATTGATTTTAAATGTTGATACTTTGATGAATCCCTTATCCTATTCTTTTGAGTGTAATCCCTCTCCCAACACAGATTAGAATTTATTTACACCTCTAGCATATTCATATTACTCCTAGAAACCAGAGTCTACAGAGCACACTTCTTAATGACCTCCTAAATGCCATCTAGACTGCCAAGCATCTCATTCAGCATAGTTCTTATATAACACTATTGTACACAGAGTAATACATTAAAACCTGGAGCACTAGGGGCAGCGAGGTGGCACAGTTAATAGAGCACCGGCCTTGGATTCAGGAGGACTTGAGTTCAAATCTGGCCTCAGACATATAACACTTACTAGCTGTGTGACCCTGGGCAAGTCACTTAACCCCATCACCTAGCCAAAAAAAAAACCTTGGAGCTCTTAATGGGATGGTTGAATAGGCATTTCCCCTTCACCTCAGTTCTGCATTTTCCAAGCAACTCCCTCAAGGTCCATGTCTTCTGGCAAGTCAGGCAGGGCCTTGGGCTCATCCTCCTACAAGAGTTCATCTTCTCTAGGTCTTTCTGATTCCAGGTCCACTACTCTACCCACTATACTACTTAGCTGCCTAATACTGTTACTAATAATAATACTAATAGCATTAATAAAATGCTTTAAGATTTGCAAAGAGTTTTATGTATGTTAATTCATTTAAGCATTCTCCTTCTCCTGGCCTAGTATCCATGAGGTATAATAAAAAGAGCATTGAATATGGAGTTAGAAGGCCTGGATTTGCATATTGGTTCTTAATTCCTGTGTGCACTTGGGCAATTCATTTAATCTTTTTAAGCCTCAGTTTCCTCATTGGTAAAATGAAGTGGTTGATTCTGATACTATGTAATGTCCCTTCCATCTCTAAATCCCATGTGCCTGGGAACATTTGGTCCAGACAAGCTCTCAATCTGGATTGTTTAGCACCACTTATCGCTTATCTGCCTGAGGCTGTTCTGGATACAAGTAGTACCCAGGTGTCATTACAATATGTTACCTCTCCCAAATTATCAAGAACATTGAGTTACAGCCAAGCTGACCAATATGCCTTTCCAATGGCTCGCTTAATAATCATTTTAAACCATTGTCCAATGAGTTCAATCAGTTCAACTGTCACGTA